GGCAAAGTCCCCAAGCTTCTTGCGTTCCAGTGTCACGCTGGGACACAGCACTCCGGGAAGGTGGCTTTGTGCTGGCACCCAGGGGCCGTGCAGCTGGCAATACTTAAAAACAAAAGCCAGCAAAATCCAGGCCGTGCTTGGCAGCCCGTTTGGCTTAGTAGAAGTTATTTGAAGAGCTAGCCCAGCGCAAGGGTTGGCTCTGCGCCTCTATCCGTCACAGGACAAGGACGGAGAGGAGCAGCAGAGCTGGGTTATGGCTCCCTTCTCCTTCCCACACCCTTGGGAGCTCTCTGGAGACTCGTTTTTTTGACAAGCAGCCCACATCCTTCTGCCAAACATCCTGTGCTCAAGAGAAACCTCCTCCCAACCTTGGACTTTACCATCCTACGTAATCCACCATTAAATAACCACTGCATACAGAGCCCTACGCTCACCCTGGCCACGCGGCACGTTAAACAAGGAAGAGGTATTTCTTTGCACAGGGCGACATCTCTGCCCGTGCAATAACCCCAGCAGCTCACTGCAACCGCAGCCCCTCTCCCTCAGCACAGGCTCGGTGGAAATTCCCTCATTGCCACATTTTAAACATTTTACCAGCAAGGCGCTCAGACTCTGGGTGCTGCATTAAGTGCTTGCAGCCGTCTGCTTTCAGAGTGGGCAGCACATTGAAGTCTCGCCGCTTCGAGCAATAAAACGTATTTATATAGCCCCCGGCTTTGCAGATGGAGGCAGGGCTGAGCTGAGCTGCTGGGACGCCTCTCGCTCCTTCCCAGCAGCGTCCTCACCCTCCAGCTCACTGCTCTGGGGACAAGAAAAGCTCTTTCTCGGTCCATGCAGAGGAACTGCTCCAATTTTTAATTGGATACAGACCGCTCGCTCTCATGTGGCCATGGTCACCGCTCCGAATCTCGGCTCAGCCCCACGCCGTGCGCTGAGGCCCTCTCCCTTGCACACAGACTGGCTCAGCTGCCTCCCTCCAACACTACGGGTCCCCCAAAATTTCAGCCCTGCCTCTCCCAGCTGGGGATCATCTCCGCCACCAAAAGCTGTTGCAGAGAACCTAGTTGGGTGCTTTGTTACCGCAACCATTCAGCGCTTTTTCTGGCTGGCTGAGGCAGCACCAGCCTGGTAATTTGTGTTTGATTTGCATGATGCACAAGCTCAGGCCCACTCTTTCAGCTTTTCTCCCAGGTCAGAACCCTGCAGCACCATTCTTCATCCACGTTAGGAATTATCCAACCCTGCCTCCAACCTGCCCCAATTCTTTCCCAAGCTACCTTCTGCCTTCCCAGCTTGATACCGTCTGAAGCACAGGGGGCTCGCTCCCCCTTCCGCTTCTAGCAGAAGCACCAAATTGGACTTGATGTAAGACTAAACCCCCCGGACCCTCAAATTAATTATGCTTCACAGGGTGGGATAATCACTGGAATTAGTCCGAGGCATTTTTGTTCTCTTGACCAGCACAGGCTGGACAGGGGCTGGTACCTGCTAAGTTTGTCCCAAGGATTAAATGAGCATTTTAGGGTACAGTTCCCCAAACTCTAATTTTTTTTTTTTTTTCCTACTTAGAGGCACTACTTTGTAAGAGGTGGGATAGGAGCAACATCCCCTTGGTGTTCTTGAGATGCTGCTATGGCTCCCACACAGGAGGCAGGAGTTTCCTGCGGGCACCCACCCGCAGCACCCAGTGCTCTGCAAGGCCAGGGCACCTGTAGCCCATCTTTAGCAAAGAAGTGACAGGAGCACCAGGCATTTCTGCCTTCTCAGCAGTAAGTATCTTCACATCAAATGAAAATAAACAATGATAAATATTAAGTGGCTGTTTACACCAACTTGCTTGACTTTGCAGGCCAAGAGTGCTTGCAGGAGATGAGAACAGCTTGGTGGAAGGGTGCTGCGACCCCCTCTGCTCTATTTTGCAGGCAAATCCACAACATTTAGGGATGCAGCTAGACTCAAAGGGTGCCTGAGAACTCAACTAATTCACATGTTACCTAGGAAAAGCCTTTACTGCAGGATTTGCTAATAAAAAGTTGAAAGGGCACCCCAGCAGGGGAGAGCTTGCCCCTTTCTCCCTGCCTCTCTTGGCAGGGAAATATGTTCCCTTCACCTCTACTAGTGCTGGTATTCGATGCAAATTGAACCCAACAGAAAACCAGTTTTTACTGGCTGCCTCCTGACCCTACCCAGGCTTTTGGTCACTCTGCAGACGACTGCGGGCTGAGGCTGGATCACTCCTGTCAGAGGGACATGTGGAGGAACAGCCTTTCTCCGGAAAGCACTGCTCCCTCCCCAGCGCTGCCCCATGGGGAGCAGCCAGGGCTGGCTTGTGTTCCGGGCCCCTGGGCTTCCGGCCAAGCTGCCACCACAGCCAGCTCTGGCCAATGCTGACCCTCAGGCCTAGGTTTGTGACGATGCAAATCAGGAAAGGTGTTCCCCCAGCAACAGCCTGGAAAACCCGCAAAACGTTAAAACCCCGCCTGTGTAGAGCAAAGAGTGAGGCCCTGTCTGCAGGAGCCACAGTGCTGCCCAGCTTTACCTCTCCCTCACATCGGATTGACTAGAGGAATTGCCAAGGGGCTGCCCTGCTCCACGGTAACAAAATCTTCCCAGAGACAGAGGCAGAAATAGCCACACAGTGGCTTATTGCCTCAGTGCAACAGCTCAGCCGACGACAGCTGCCCGGCATCCTGCACCGAGTTTTTATTTCCTTCCATCCCAGAACCTGCCCCTTTGACTCCACACAGAGATGAACAAATATTTAATTAACATATTTGACCTTTTATCAGTCCCTGATGCTGATAGCTTTCTGCACACAATTTAGGTGCTCCTTCCCTGAGCCTGCTGCAAACCTGTGACTAGGGGAGTGTTACAAGGTTCTTCGCATCTTCAAAAATCTTCTAAAAACTCTGGATTTGAAAAATGAGAACACAGAAGCATCATCTTCCATTATTATTTTAACAGCATTTCAGTTCATACCTCTTATTGCTGTAGGGCGGTAAAAGGTAGAAACCAAGTGCCACCTAGAACATCAAAAGCCAAGAGCTCTTCTCGTTCCTTCTGTGTATGTTTAACATTTTCCAAATTTCTAGTGGGGAGAAGGGGTTGGAGCTGCCTGAGCACAAACAATACCTCCAAACGGCTGAGAACAAGCAGCTCATTGCACTACATTGGCAGAGAGCAGCCTGCTCCTTCGATTTTAACCCGTGTTACAGCAGACCTTGTCACAGTGGTGTTGTATTAACCCTTTCTTCCCCATCATTGTTAAAACGACAGTCTCACATGGGTGAGTTTATTTCCAGCATAAAGGATGTCCCAGGTGCACAGCCCGACTTTGCTCAACCCTCCCCTTTCCCCACACCTGGCCAGAGCGTTGTGGTTCTGCGAGGACTCCTCAATCCCTAAATACCTGCCTTATTTCAGCCCGAAGCTCAGCGCAACTCGGAAATGCTACAAGGCACGGGAAACCTCACCTATGTGCGGGGATGCTTGTTCGTGTTCCCAAGACACGCAGCGTATACCACCGAGATGTGTTTTTCCAAGTACAGGAGCAGCAGTTCTATTTGGTAACTAGAAACGCTTTATTTTTACAGTATATAAAAATATAACAACAAAATACTATACAGAAAAATATAAAGTGAAGCAGAGATCTTCTCAATCTCGTTTTTAAGAGGTAAGACAAACAGGATCATAGTGCAAGCCCCAGACTTCAGAAAAACCCCACTCTTGTGGCAGTTTAAGTGGTGACACACTCAACCCAACCAGGAGGGATGCTGCTTACCACGGCCAAGGACGTGCCTAGGGATACCTTTCCAGCACAGGGAACTTGTCGGCTTTCGTTAAACATAAAAAGAAACCCCAGTCCTCCTTTGTGATCTGACTGGGAGAGAAACATCCTCCCAGCCCTGCTTATGGTAAGGGTGCTCAGAGCCCACCGGGCCAGCACACCACCCCCAACCCCCCCCCGCAACGATCCCACCCCGGGGGCTCGGATTTACGTAAACTGGCAAGTCTGCAGGATGCTCACACATGGGTGCGACTGGAGGCTGTCTGTGACCGGCTGGGGGGGGGGGAGCAGCTATGACCTAAGGAAGGCCAAGGGTCAGTGAAAGCAAGCTGAGGAAATCCAGTTTCCACCACTTCCTCTTTCTTTTATTTCCCCCTTCGAGGAAGAGCAGCCAGCATTCTTTTCCAAGGCAGGGGCTGTGTCAGGACCTTGCTGTCCTTAAGGAAGGACACCAAGGACTACACCAGCCAACAGTCCAAGAATCATCCCCTCTCTACCTGTCTCCACAACCAAACTGTCTAAGTCTGCTTGTGAGTAAAGCAGAGAAAAGAGAAGGGGATGAAGAATTAAGGTACAAATTACATGCTCAAGGAAAAAAGCCACAAAAGAAAAAGGTTCTCTGTAGATTTTTCTCTCCATGGCCACAAAACAGGGTTTGTCCTCATCAGGGAATACGTGCCAACTGGCTTTGCCCTAGATCTTCCAAAGAACACTGGAGTACATTCCCTAAAGCTGTGAACTTGCTCTTACGCTGAGTACCAGCCACGCTAGCGAGATTCTGATATGGCCACCTTTAGTCACCCGGTAATCACAGCAAGGCTCCATGAGAAACTGCACCCGGAGTCTCAGGTCTTCAAGTTCCTCTTGTTTTGTTGGTTCCTTGAAGAGATTTGCCAGTCCTTGAGCTGTATTCACAGTGAAAAAGCAGAGCAGCAACACATGCTGGAGACAGTCCAAGAATTACTGCGGTGCTGAGGCAGCTTGCGGAGTTTGAAGACAATTAACCAAAGGAGAAACACGGAAGGAAGATGGAGGAAGAAGGGAATTGCTCCAGGCCTACCACATGCCAGTTCTGCCTGCCGCCAGGAAGGCGCTGTAGCAGCTCCCGTCTCCTGTAAGCAGCATGTGCAGGACAGCAGTCTGGGACTGACCGGCTGTCTAGGGTTAATCAGCAGCATGTTTGGAAAGTGTCTCTGGCAGACGTGGGGACCACTCACTGCCACTTGTAGATCTTCACCATCTTCTCGGTCAGCGTAGCCAGGAGGTGGGTTTGGTTCACTTCCAAGGGGCAGATATCCAGCACAGGCAGGTCAGCCTGCAGCTTCTGCAGCAAGGAGCCACTTCCAGCATCCCATAGCTGTGGGACAGACAAGGTCAAAGGCTGCAGGATTCTCCCCTCCCGTCCAAAACACAGCTCCCTCTCTCTAAAGGCTTTCCTCGAGTTACTTACAGGACCCTTTCTCTACTTTCACACCCTGCTTGGATGGTTTTAACAGACTCCCCAGCATCAGCTCAGCCTGGCTGCCCTCTCCTCTGACCCTGGCTCATGCAGCCTGTTGTCCAGTCTCTGCATCTGGCTGCTTTTTCATATTAAAAAAAGGGGGTATAACCCTTCTCCTCATCTTCCATGTCACTCTGAAGCAGGCTACGTCCATCCCTCACAGCACTTCCCACGTCCCACCAAGTCTGTTACATCCTTTACAGTGCCGGTTGTGACAGCGTGCCCAACTGCATTCCTCTGGGGAACAACAGGGGCTCGCTGCCTGCACTTCTCTGATGGGCCACAGGCCTCGGCCAACGTGTCCTACGCTATCAGGAGGCCACACCTGCTACAGCAAGCTCAACAGACTAACCTGCACAGCAAGACAATACCCACCACACCACACTGACTCTGACAAGGATTCTCTCCTAACAACTGCAACAAACCCCTCCACCACACTGAAAGAAAGGAGACATACCAGGGCAGAATTAGACGCCTCGTCGCCTGCACACACAAAGACGCTGCCATCCTCCTCCGGGCTCTGAAAAATGGCATTCTTGGTCAGCAGCTTGCAGGTGGGCCCAGCACTGAACGTCTGAACCGGGTGAGAAGAACACACCACAGCGTCAGAGGCCTCCGTCAGCGGGCTGCAGGTCAGCTCCATCAGCACACAGCGCACGCACGGGTTATTTTTACCTGAGCGGCAGAAATAGCAGAGGTAACCTTTGGAAAATTCACTTGCAGACAAGTTTTAAATGTAGGAATACAAGCAACACCACCCTGCAGCTGCCTCCTTTTGCCCTCACCCAATTCCCGTCTATGTGCAGACACTCCCTGCTCCGGCTCAGGCAGGTTCATTGCTGCCGTGCCCTCAGCACCAAAGCTGCTGCTGACCCCACCAAACTGTGGGACACTGGGACTGAAAGGCGGATGTACGCCGTCACGTACTAGGCCTGTACGTCGCCAGGCAGTGCCGCGTGCTGATCTCTGTCTGGATATCGATGCATCCTCCAGGTTCCAGCGGCAGGTGATGAGGGTGGTAGGAGTTGTTGGCTTTCTGTTCCCAAAAGCAGGCTCCTTCCAAGGTCCCAGCTAATATTCCCCCACAAGACAGCGACGCTGAGGCCATCCGGGGGAGGTAGGACAGCGACACCATGGGGCACCTGAAAATGGGATTGGCAAGTGTCAGTGCTGCCAGCCATGCTGGTGTTCTGCCTCATTGCTTCAGAGCTCCCAGCTCTTTGACCACGCTGCAAAGAAAGGGCCTAAGCAGGCTGCAACACGGTCCTTCAAGCAAGGAACCCACGGGTTTGTCAAGGGTAAATGACATGCAACTTTCCTCAGCCTTATGTTTTAAAGAAGCATCAGACAGCACACAGCAAATATGCTTAAATCAGCATTTGATTCCCTGAGCAGAAGAGGTACCTTAGCAATTTGTCCTTTGCAAATTATTTAGGAGCTGGGTTTAGGGTTTAAAGTCAGTTCTCCTGCTAGGGCTGCACTATTTCTGACTACCATCAGCCTTAAAAAGACGCAGGGGGCAAGCACCACGTAGAGAGTTACACATACACCATGCCACCTTACGCGAGACTTCTCACATCTCTGCTGAACGTGAATTTTTGAACAACAGATTGACACAAACCAACGTAACCTATTACAGAAGCAGCTATGTTTAGCTCAATGTGGACTGAGAAATCCATATGCCATACCTGGACTTCTGAGGGACTAGTTCCTGGACATGAGTGTTCGTGTCTCTCAAATCATATATCATGATCGAGCCGTTGACCAACCCAGCGTAGATGTAGTTTGTGTCATCGAGACACCAGCAGCAGCTCCAGACAGGACGGCCAGCATTGTACGTCTGCACCACAGTATTTGTTGCCAAGCTGCAGAAGAAAAGCAAAGCGTTGGCCTGTTGCACAAGCAACTACTGACGAGGAAACGGCATTAATTAAGGTAAGCAAATCTAGCTTTAAGTCTTTAGACAGAGCATCTCTCTTTAGACTGTATTCTGAATTAACTCCTCCTTAACTCCAGACATGACTCTGGAAAAAGCTAGACAGAATAATGACTCGGATATTATCAAGTGATTTATAATTCTTCCAGGCTAATGCTTCTTTTTCCAGATTAATCTTTGGAGACTGGAAAAGGAAATCCCAGAGCAGGGTTTCAGCCGCCTTACTGGAAAGGGAAAGCAAGTTGCTTTTCTGGAAACAATTAGAAGTGACTCTAGTGTAATCCCATAATACTGCATATTCCCGAGATCACAGGGCTCATCTCTTCAGATTACAGCTCTCATTAATTATTTCCCTCTTTTCACACAAGAAGAACAGTGCCTATGCCTCAAAAGAAACCAATTTATGCAAGAGTGAGACAAGTGAACGGGGGTAAAGAAACATTTATAGTGTTAATCCTTTAGGGAAGGAAGAAGAAGGGAGCACACAGAGGGGTTCCACCCTGGGTAGCAGATGAAGTTGGTGCACTGCTCTCCATATCAAAGTAATTCTGGATATCCTTCACACCACACGGGTTTCTCCCCGGGGAAGGCAATTATGCTCAGAACTCCAGAGAAGCAAGGAAGTGCTCCCAGGTAAGTGTGAGGGGAACAGCTACAAAGGCAAACCTGGCTGGGGAAACAGGGAGCTTGACATCAGAACAGCAACTGGTCCAAAACAGAAAAACCACCCCCAAAGTTATGGTGCCATTTTAAACACCTGCAAGCCAGAACAGGAGACCTGAGGACATCTTGGATGACTCCTTTTGATAGGATGACTCTTAAATCAGTAACTAGACAGGAAAGAGGAGTTTCCCACAAGGGGGACTTTTCTTTCAGACAGAGACTGGACAAAATACGATGATCCTGCT